CCCATGTGAAAGAGTTCTCTCCACATCTCCCCTGTGAGGAAATCCAGCCTTATGGGCTTGCGGGTAGCTTTGCTTCACTGGGGTTGTTGCACCTCACAGAGCTACGAGACCTGTCTTGTAGCTGGAGGATCCAGGTACCCCCTCTTTGCAAAATTTGGCCTAGCAAAAATTGCCTTAATTTGCAGGATATTGTTTCTTAGGTGCAAGCAGTGAAAATGTTGATGAGATGATAAAACATAACTGGTTTATTATCCAATTAATTATTTTGCCTAATTAATTATATTATTTTTAGTAATTCTTTTATTTTGCCCTATTAGTTCTGTTGCCTTATTAATTGCCTAAGAAGAAAGGCACATCAGACAAAATGATCTGCACGTGGCTGTCAGCTGAACAGGGCACGCTGCACACATGGATGCATGAGTGTCAGGGGGCTGTCACAGCATCCCTAAAAAACAGGATGAGAATTAGCCAACTTAAACCTATTAGCACTCCAGATTGATTGTTACTGTCACGTCTGGTCTCAAGCAAGAGTGGGAAATGTGTGGTGTGTATTAATCTCAAGACTACACAGATTTTAGCAGACTGTCAGTTGAATACTGCTGGACAAATGAAACCTTTAGGTCTTATCTACGTGCTAGCTAGATACACGCTTCGTTTTCATTTCAGCTTGTTTTTCCTGTAACCTTTGCGGCTTCATTCTTTGCAGTCACCTTTTTTAAAAAAAACACTCGTTTTTACCTTTTCCTGGTTTATCTAATGATGCTTTCAAGGCAACCAGCAAACGCTGAGGCACTGCATTACTTAGAGCAACTACTTGGGCAGCCAGGATATTGAAACACAGCCAAGGGATCCAGCATCCCAGCAAGTGACTGCAAGGTTGTAGGAAGGCTGTAAGATGCTCCTCCACTCATTGCCCAGACAGATTAGGAGCCGTTGATGCCGGGGCTTGGACAGAAGTGTCCTCCAGTAAGTGTAATGAGGAAGGGTATCTGAATTCCTTCAATAAAGAAAAACTCACTCTGACCTATCCAGAAGAAAATTCTGCTCCCTGTGACTTACAGGGAGCTCACTGGGAGAGACTCCAGATATCCAAATGGCAGCTTTGCTGAACTCAAGGACAGTTGAGTTCATTGATTTTGCAGAGCCAGGATTTCACTTCCAGAAGGGTCCGTTGCGGTCATCTTAGTCTGACTTTTGGCCTAATTGTCTGTGGGCTGAACCAGAGCAAAGCTTTAAAAATGAAATTCACTTTTGATGTAATGATAGAAAATCCATCATATTCTTTGAAAATCTGACAACTTATCACCATCACTGTGAGAAATATACACCCTTCTTCCCATTTGTTTTTTTTTATTCCTTTCAGCTTTCATCCACTGAATCATCTCTGCTCAATGGAGAGACCCTCTAACATTTAAGTCTCTCTCTGTGCAACTGCTTTTTGAACAGGAGAGCAAAACTAGACTGTGCAGACCAGAGAACAGAGTGCAGAAGTATATGTGGCATTCAGAGACATGATACGTAACATAATCTTAACAGGCTTTATAAATGCAATTTTTACTTTCCTACCCTACAATAAGACTTGTTTTGAAAAGACGAGATGAAAGGCTGCCACATAAATGGAACTCACCCTAAAATGACCAGATCCTGTCTCAGCCGTTGTGCTGTCGTATTCCTGCTTTCATTGTGCTGTATCTCACAGGCATTCTGTCACTTCTAATGTGTGCATCTGATGTTTCATTATAAGCCCTAATACTCTCTTTCAGATTTCGGATGCTTTAATCAAGCGCGTTCAGGTATCTCAGGAACAGTGGGTCAAAGGAGCCTTGGAGCCAAAAGTGTCTGCTGAGTTTGACTTGACTCTGGATAGCGAACCTTTACTGCAGTCGATTCACCAGCTGGATTTTATTCAGATGAAATGTAGGGGTGAGCTTTCGTGATTTTCTTTTTTCTGATTTTTGTGCATGTGTTGAAACAGTGCTGGGAAGAAGGGGGACATGGAGGGAGGAAAGAGGAATGACTTGAAATTGCTGGGGAGTTTTAAAGGTCTTCAAGGAAATTCAGGTTACTGGGTGTTTCCTAGAAAGGTGTGCTCACCTCACGTGCGGGGACCTGAACAAGCTCAAACAGAGATATCAGGTGCAGTTGAAGATTTGAATAGATAAATTCTTCAGAGTAGGGCTATCTGTCAGCTTTGAAGATTAAAAAGACATTAGCTGCATGAGACTTTATGCCATTTTACAGCATCCCCAGATTTAACATGGTTCATTCAAAATACCAATTACCCCTAGCTTGTCAGGAACAGCTGAAGTAGTAAATAAATATTCCTCCACACACACATAGGCTTGAATAGGGAAAAAAAAACCCCTTTGACTTCTGTCTGGACTATGCTACAAACAGCGCCCAGCTTAAAATAAAATTGTGAAGCAGAGGTTCACGAGGGGAAAGGAGCTCCATGGCTATACCCTTCCTTGATTCCAGGTATCTGAATGATCCTGGGAAAAGGATCATTCCCTTTCACTAAAGGGAAAGGAGCTTAAAAATTATTTAAAAGAGGAAGCTGATGAACAGAAATTCCATTGGCAAAAAATAGGTTAACATCATGTGCTTGTAATGAGCTTGGTTTATATGGTGCAGGATGAGAACTGCATCAGAATTAGATAGATCCACAGACTGGCTAGATTTGAAGGCCATTGTGGTCCCTGGGAATGGTGCCATTAGCTTCCCTCAGTGGTGATTCAAGCCTTAATTATACACGTGGGTGACAGGGTAGAGGCTGCCAGAAGTCAATGAATGAGTTAAGGATAATCATGTCGTGATGCCGAATGTGCTTTTTTTTAACTCCAAGCAAGCATAAAGATTTCTGTTCAGTTTATCTGTTCTTTCTGGGCCTAATTCTGAACCCAAGAGACCCAAGATTAAATAATTAGGGTGGATAATTTAGCAAAATAATTTAGTGGATAAGCAGTTAAAGGCCAAAGTCTGTTCACCAAGAATGGTTTGCGTCTTGGCGTAAATGGGCTACATTAAAGTTCCTCAAAAAACACCTGTGAACTGCTCCTTTGAAATGTTAACAGCCAGGAAAGCAGAGTCAAGAGAGAAAGAGTATCACTGGTAAAACTTCCCCAAATACTGTCTGCACTTGTCTGTTTAAATCAATTTATATTTAATGCTAGCCATACTTATTGTTAAATATATTTAATACTAATCTACCATTACTGTCCTTATATCCAAAGATATGAAGAATTTAGTTAAACTATCCACTTAGATTGCTAATTAACCCCAGGTCACTTGGGGTGAGAGCAGCTTAGGTATTTGGCTTTTGGGCATTCATCTGGCTTAAAGCTTGAAGACTTAGAGACTTTAATTGAGCCAGATTCACTGGAGCTTTATGGAAGATAGTGTTGTCTGCTGATGCTCTCATTTATTGTATGATTGCAGCGAAGCTATGGTACTGAGTTAAACACGGTCTGAGGTGCAAAGAAGAGGTCAGGGCTGCTGCTGCCCAAAGCTGTGCAGAGCTTATGAACACCCTTGGGCTTTGCTCCCCAGAGGCACCGTAGCAGATACCCCTCAGGAAGGGCTTTTCTGTGAGCTGTTTTGGCCTTGATCAGGGACTACCTGCTGCATGTCCCATCAGGTTGGTCAGCACACCTGGCGTGACCATGTACATGCCATGCAAAGAATGGTGGAAATGCCATTTACCCTGGCCACCATTCCTTCGTAAGGGACTGCGTTATTGCTCCTCACACCTCTCTGTGTCCAAGCAGTACAAGCCACCGACTGGTCCCGAGCTAATGTTCGTAGATGTGGAGGTTTGTTTAGTATATAGAGGTGTATTTATATTTTTCAGTTTATGACACCAAATCTATTTGCATTTGAGCTGCTCAGCCTGACACTTTGGCATTTCTTTTTCTGAAATTCACCTTTGTGTCCTCAACCAGCTCTGCATTATCTTGTCATGCACAGTGGTCTTGCATCTAGAAATATAGGTGTGTGACCCCACACAACCACAGAACCATGGATTAGATGCAAAGAGTAAATTTATTTTCATTATCTCACAAACTGGGGGGTCTCCGAAGCAGTGCCCGGGCAGAGGCACACAATCAGGAACGCAGGCACCGCAGAGCTCGGTCCTTGCTAGAAGCTCGCCAAACCTGCTGTTTTCACCTGTATATCAGAGATTCACGCAGGTGTAACTTGCCACCGTGTTTTGAACTTCCCACAGCAGGGCAGGAATCTCAGGCACGTTTGATAGGGTGCCTCTGAGTCTATCCCAGGCCTGTGTTATCTAAACACAGATGTTCTACTTGTCAAGCACACAAGACCAAACAATGATTAGTACGATATATGTGGTTTTCTACATCCCAGCTGCAAGTCACTTGGGCGTGTTTACAGTCCTCCTCGCCATTCTTCTGTTATTTTCCCAGAATAGGTAACACTGAGTAAGCAACTCAGTAATTCAGCAGCGAGCACCCAGACTTACTGGGAACATCACTTTGCTGACTGTGAGGAGATGCTGGTGTTGCAGGGTGATATTTTGCTATTTATCACCATCAGGACTTGTATATTTCTGAGCCTCCAGTTTCACGAAGAAAAATCTAGGCGTCTCTTCACACCTGCTCCTTTCTCCAGTCCTACCTACCCTAGTGCACCGACAGGTCATCAACCTTTGCCAAATGTTGGTGTTGAGGGGAACATTACTAATTAACTATACTGATGAATAGATGCATTAAAGACGTCAGAGATGATCTGTAAAGGGAGTTTTGGGGAAACCTAGAAGCATAGGGCCAGCGTGGCTTTTCCAGCAAGTTGTTTCATTCCAAAAGCTTTGCAACGTAAGGTCTGTGCTATTGTTATCGATGTTTAGTGCATGACTGAATTTCTAATTTTTTTTTTTTTCAAACTCTGGCCTCATTCAACCTCAGTGAGCTTGCATGGGTCATTTAGAGTGAAAGCTTGCTTGTAAGTAAACATTGATTCACTGTGTTAGACAAAGAAGAAGGAAAATGAGAACAAATCACATTACATTTGCTTTCATGACTTGTTCATGTACCTTACTGGTGGACTCTGTATAAGCCCATATCTAAAGCTAATATCAGTAAATAAAGATTGGGGGTGGGTTTTTTTCTTTTTACAGAAAGAAAAAGCAATTCGGTAACAAATTAAATGTGCAGAAATATGATAGGTGCATAAGTAATGCTTAAGCAGTCACGTGGACCAAAGGGTCTCACTGACAGCCCTTTGGCAAGAGTCCCCACTCCCCAGGCTAGCTGGCCTGCTGAGACACGTGCACAGCTCTAGTAGTTGCTGGCATTTTGAGCTTTCCCAGATCCCTTTCCTCTGTTCACGTTTTCTTCTCTCTGTGACTTTTTCTAAGTGCCTTGGCACAAAATTCCTGTCCTCTTTGATGACTGGCACAATATGTACGTCACATTGCTTCAGTTCAAGCTATGGGCACAGGCAGATATGTGTTCCAGGTTTGGTTTGTTCAAACAGCCAGAACTGCCATGCAATCTTGGTTTGTTGTAAAATGGAGACTAGGTACAAAATAGGAAAAAATATCGCTGCTCTCTACTTTTCTGTACCATCTCCGAATACTCACTCATATGCCCCTTCTCCTTGTCAGGAGTGACTCCTTCCCTCTTCTGCAAACCAGTCCATGAAGATACCCTACACATATCTCCTGCTGCAAATCTTCTCTGCTTCTCCAGCCGTGAGCTGCACAGCCCTGATAATGAAAGAGTTTCATCATAGGCTTTATCCCTGGTTCTGTTTGCTCTGCGTCATGGACCCAGGTCTCTCCTCTCTCGACAACGCTGTTTGTAGGGCGCTTGCTACAGCAGTGACTCAGGCTATTACAGGGCTGTGCTACAGTTTTGGAGGAGGTCAAAGCTTTCATGTTTCTGAGGGCCCTGTTCTTTCACTGCATTTAGTCCTTTAAAAATTAATCTGGGAAGGTGAAGGGCATCATTGCACAATTTGCTTGTCAAGAGGGCAAATAACAGACAACATCCTGGAGCAGCCCTACTTTACCCTGAGAGGAGATCAGCTGTGAGATCCATTGAGCAATGTGGTTTTGAAACTGCTGAGTTGACATGAGACATCAGTATCACATTTTTTTAGCTGAGTGTGACCTGCATGAAGCACTTTTAAAATAGCAGGACATCATTCAGGTTCATTAATAGGTCTTCCTGTGACAATGCAGTATCATTTCTCCCTTTATATTTTTAATCTTTTCCTTCAAAAACTCTCTAGAGGACTCTAAGTTGCACAAGAAGTGGGACAGCACTGTAATTTAACATCTGAGTCTTCTATTTTTCTTTTTTTTTAAGTTAGCCTATATTTTTCTTTTCTTAGTCCTGTCCCATTGCTCTTCACTATATGAAGTATATCCCAGTGTCCCGATTATTCAACTTGTTTCTCACTTTCCTCTGATTTTACAACAAGTGTTCACCTTTTGTCCTCCCAGAGGGAATCTGAGATCAAGGCAAATGTCTGCCCATCCGCATCCAGGGGAGGAGGGAGGAGGGCAGGCGCAGCGAGTGACATCCAGCAAAGCTGCACAGCTCGGTGGGAGCTTCTGACCTCTCCTTCAGCTACTGTAGGTTGTGCAGTTCAGGTCACAGGCTGTCCCAGAGGGAGTAGGAGGCTGGTAAGGATTTCTCACAAAAACCTAGATGTCCAGTGAAACAGTAAAGAAGCCCAGGCACTTCCCCATTCTTCTCACATGTATGGCCAGAATTCACACTGCCCCTGGGAAATGGGAACAGCAGCACTTTACCATATGAAAACATAGTCTAATCCTAGATGGCATTCTTGTTTCCATAATTAAAAGGGAAACACTCGTAACACACTTAGCTTCCTCCAAAAATTCTGCTCTTTTTTTTCCAGCGTTGTGCATAATGTCAACAGTCCCTGAAACCCTCCCATCAGTGTTCCTAGGACGTTTTTGCAGGGGATTGGAGAGGTTAATGGTTTATTCAGAGGTGAGGGGGTATTGTTTATTTTGCACTTTATGAACGTCAGGAATTAGGTTGTCATCCAGTTTTGCCAGAGGGAGTCTCAGAAGTGGGGAGGACCCAGCGAACGCCTCCTGAGAGGGTCAAACGGTTAGCTGAAGTGGTAGGAGTGCGGATGGCTGATACAGCCCTGTCGTCTCCCAGGCCCATCAACCCTGGAAATACACAGGCCAACAAACACAAACAAAACCCCAAACTTAAAATTGTTCACTTAAAAAATCCTGTTACCTCTGAAGTCCTCATTTTCAGGTTTTTTACTCTTGTAATGTCACATTTCTGTTCCTTCTCCAGACACAATGTCTCCTAGAGAAAATTCTGAACTTTCCATGTGAAAAAACAAGCAGGTTTTTATTTATGACACCCTTTGAATCATCCTTAAATATCAAGGAATAGGAACAAGGCTTTTTTTTTCTCTTTTCACAGAAAAACTTTCAAGAGCTAATTTATAAAGCTCTTTTGTTTCAGACCACAGTCATTCTTCTGGGCTACCAACCATCCGTGTTCACTGTGGTGATGGATAATGCCAGCGGAAAGCCATGGTGGCTTCTGCACTGTTTATCACAAGTGTGACGTTGACTTTCGTGACACTTCCAAAATAGGGGTAAAGCCTTAGCCCCGTCACACAGTAGCGTCCACTTTCCCACAGACTGCTTGATACACAAAACGTGAACAGTCCTCTTTTATCTGGAGAGGTAAAATAGGATGAAAGGAACAGCTCAAGGGCTTAGCTCTCACGCAGACAGAGGGAGGAAAATAAACTAGAGGCTCAAAGCGGAGCAGATAAAAGAAGAGCAAACTGACATTGTTCAGAGCTAAGTCAATGAACGCTCAGAGAACTCAGCTCCTTGTAAGACACGGTTGAGCTCTGCAGAAATGATCCTGAATGGTGAAATTCAGCCTTGGGCAGAACACCAGGCAGGGTCTATGCATCGCTCACATCCCACTTAACCTGTGCCATTTCAGTGGAGCATAAGATATGTGACAGATCTCTCCAGAAGACCAAATTTTCACTTTATAATTTCCAGCAAAGGGTGAAAGGTAAGAGTTTAGTTGTGTTTAGCAGAGAAGTTGTGGTGGAGGCCTCTTTCCCAAAGAGGCATGGCTGAATGTTTTGTTCTGTTTATTTTTGTTTTTAAGATGCTGGTCTGGTCAACAGTCTCTTGGTGTTTCTCCTGAGCAAGTCACTAAAAAGGCATGTTGGTAGATAACTTTGCACCTGTAATTTCTGAGAGGACAGAGCCACAAGCAGTTTCCCGTGGTGCAGAAGTTCCTTTTGCTATCTGAACCAAGGGATTTAGATAACATTTGCAAATGGAACAATTTCCTTCAATGGTTTCTTTTAAGTATGGCTGCCAAAAAGACAACATATCCACAGTGCTTTTGATGAAAAAAGGGAGGGAGGGGTGTTAGATTAGATTTAAAAAAAAATAATATTATGAAGAATTGTTTTCCTGCTGTTGATGGAGTTCAGGCTCTACCTTGCCACCATGCTGCGGTCCCAGAGGTAGTTCTTATGAGGCACCAGAAGCATGTCCAGATATGTTTCTGTTTGTATATTTCAGCCAAATGATTTGTCTAGTTGAGTAACAACATATTATTACATCATTTTTACCGCCTTTTGTTTCAAGGAAGGGAATGGAGGGAGGTGAGCGGTCGTCAAGGTTGCTTGCGGCGCAGACTAGCAGGGTAGGGCAGAGTTACACTAATCTGTACCCAGTTTCTGTTACAGTGCCACCCGTCCCATTGCTGCAGCTGGAGAAGTGTTGCACCAGAAACAACAGCGTGACATTGGCCTGGAGGATGCCACCTTTGAGCCACAACCCAGTGGAGGGTTATATCTTGGAACTTGATGATGGAGATGGTGGCCAATTCCGAGTGAGAATTTCATTCAGCATTTATTTGTGTTTCTTTGTATGTGAGTTTCCTCAGGATATGGGTTTGTGTCTGTCCGAGAGTGAGGAGAGGGCATAGGGAAGATACGGATACATCCCTGCTCCTGTCATGCAGATGTAGAAAGCAGTGCAGATGCTGCTTATTGGAAGGACCCCCAACTTGGGTAGGAAGTTTGGTTGAGGTTGTCCTCAAGGCTCTGGCGAAGAAGGCCTGGAGGTCCCCTGGAGTTGTCAGAGCAGAGCAGAAAATCTCATACTAGCCTACAGGAGCCGAAAGTGGTTCATTCCACAAAACCGAGACTTCTTTGAAGCCCCTACTCTCGTCTGTCCATAGCACCCCATTTCAACAGCTGAGATTCTTGGTCCGGAAATGCAACTGAATTTTTCCTGGTTTTCTGAGTAAAAATGGGATCCTGCATAAAAATACAGGGTATCTAAATCTTTTATCTGGGAGTGGATAAGACCAGACTGGTGGAAGCTTTCTGCAGATAGGCTGCGATGAGGTTGGTAAGTATGGGAAGGCATCCCGAGTGCTGTCCTTCCAGACGCTCGGGGTGATGCCACAACTGCTTGCTCCTGCTTGCGGGTGAAGGGTACTTATAGGCTCCTGTCCCTTCTCACCACGTCCTGATAAACAAACTACAGAATTAATTGAATCAGCTTTCTGCCAGCTAAGTCCTGCTGGAAGCTGTGGAGCTTTATCCTCAGACAGGCTTCATGCTCCTGTTGCTCCAGGACCAGGCTGGCCCAGTGCATTCGCTAGGGTCAGGAGCCTTGAAAGCATCTGGAGATCATTGTGGCGTACAGCTGCTCTCTTCACAAATGGGAAATTTTGCCAAAAACATGCAATGGCATTTCTTTGGGAGCTTCAAACTGGCTTCTCACTGGAAACCTGGAAGTTTCTCAAGCTTAAAATAGCCTGGCACACGTCCACCTAAGGAACTGCCTCCCTGTGCCAAACAGCTACACCCATAGCCAGCAAAGGCATCTGATTTGGACACCCCTCATTATAAGAGACAGCGATATTGGCAGGGCATTTTCAAGAGGGCACTGTGTTTCTGGAAGGTCTCCTCAGTTCCTTGGCCCAAGTATCTTTTCACATGGGTTAGAAGAGGCTGGTCTCCACTACTGAACGTGTGAAAAGGTACCTTTGTGAACGGCTGCTGGGAGCTGCCAATGTAGTTAATACTAGTAGGTAAGAGTGTTACCAGTGCATAATGAATGAAGAGTTAGGAGCAAGGTGTTATAAATTCCAGTGTCTTGGATAAACCCTTTCAAGTGCTATTCACATCTAAATAAATATTGGTGAATAAACAAGATTTCAGGCTGGTGCACATCTAAGCCCATTTGTGTGGGGGGTTTTGTAACTGGCAAAGGTTTTAGGACTGCCAGCGCTGCCACATCAAGATTTTGGATTGAAAAAGATAGAAAACATCTCAATCCTTAAAAATCTAGGGTGACAGCTTCTCAGGGGAACACTTTGCTTGCTGTGGTAGAAACACCCTCAGTTTTAGCCTTTGAAAGATAAACTGCAGGCTTCTCAGCAGTGCCATTTCAATAAGAGTTTGCTGACCCTTTTCATGAAGGATTATATATCTGAAAGCAATAACACTGATTGCATTTTATCAGTATTCCATGGGTGGATTTAAAGAATGGTTTTTGTCTCCCATCATAGCAGAGAGTATCAATCTGAATAAACACAAGCAGTGAACAGTGGTGAAAATATGAAATGGATTAGATAATGTGAGAGTTGTCCTACAAATACAACTTTTTGCACAGACAGCATATGTTATAACATGGAGATAGATTAAGATATTCTATTAAAACTCTTCTTTCTCTTCATGAAAGATCATCAGCTAGCTCAGGACCCAACAGATTTTATTATTTGTAGCAGCCACCATGGTAGCAAAGTGGACAAACATGTGGCCTGCTGTAAACTTAAGTAATCCCTTTCTTATTCATCACATACTTAATTCACTTCAGCTTCATATCAAAGAGCCTTAATCAACAGGACTACTCTTAGGCATATACTTAAGTGTCTTAACTGAACTGGGGCCTGAGTGGTCTGCTTAGTCGCAGCCTTAAGGTCTTTAGGACCTTTGCTACCAAAAATCTATGGATTTCACCGAATCAGAGAAATTGGAGGTGAAAGGAATTGTGGTTTTCAACCCACTACCAAGACAGGATTTTTTCATTTTCTGTCATTTTCTGTTGCTTTGTTCAGTTTTCCAAAAAACATGAGGTTTCTAGACTTCTTCCAGTTCATCATAGACTGTAGAATATGACTGATCCTCTTCATTAGTCTGCCTAGGTGTTTTTCCTCTTGAAATATTTCACATTACACAAGTGCTTGCTGTTTAATAAATCTTTGCAGACTTTTATGATGTCTCTTTTGTCTAGTTGCTGTTTCATCATGTGAGGCATGTGATCCTAATCTTTAGGAGATCAATTTCTTCTGGCTCTGTGTCTGCAGGTTTCAAAGTTGTATTTTAATGCAGATGTGAGACCACCTTTCCAACAGAATAAAACTGCTTACTTGGGTTTTTTTTTTTATTCTTCCATGCTCCCCTTCTTTGGTCCTACATAAATATAAGCATGGCCATGGTAGGTCAGACACTGGACTACTGTCCAAAATAGTGTTTTGGAGTAGATATTTGGGAAAAGAGGATAAAAATTAAGAACTTTCTGTGTTGCCCTCTATTGCTGTACCCTCCAACTTCATCTTCACCTTAGTGTCTCCACTGCTAATCATCCTTGATGTCTCCACTGCTGTGGCTGTCTGTGTTATAACAGCATAACTTCTACATCTTGGGAAACAATTCACTTGTGGTTTATATTTAGAAGTCTTAACATGTGATCAAAGGCACAGAGAAATAGTTGAACTATGTCCCTCTTTACCTCTCTTTTTTTTGAATGTTTAGGAAGTATATGTTGGCAAGGAGACTCTCTGCACCATCGACGGCCTTCATTTCAACAGTACCTATAATGCAAGAGTCAAAGCTTTCAATTCATCAGGAGTTGGTCCTTACAGCAAGACAGTTATTTTACAGACATCGGATGGTGAGTTGCATTTTTGCCAGTTTCCAAGTGAAAAACTGCAGGTCTTGGTGGCAGGACGCTTTCATCCCTTTATACCCACTCATATCTTTGGCACTTACCAGCATGGAGATTTGGGATCATCTGAGTGGAGAGGCCAGGAACTGAGCGTGCACAGGGACTGAGCTGTCCTCCTAGCGCTTTTGGGGATTTTCCATTATCAGTAACACTTCAGGTTTTAAATAATGCAATTTCATTTGGCTGTAGAAGATTGGGGTCTAACAGATTCTTATTTGCTTTAGCATACAGAAGCAGTTATGCAACACACTGCATATTTTTGTGCCACTCTGTCTCCACTTCTTCATATATCTTTGGAATTTGCCTTTTTCTTCACTACTGCTTCAATTTCACAGCAAGGTTTGATAATACAGAGATGGGAATTCATGCTTGTTGCTCTGTAATTATACTTGACATCCATACAGGCATTAGAAGAAGTTCATCTTTGTTAATGATATTGTAATGAATTGAGAAGTGCATGCTATTATCCCTTCCACTTTTATGCTGTGTTGCCAAAATAGGGCAGTATAAAATATTTATACTTTAAGAGCTTTTTCTGTTTTGTTTTGTTTTGTTTTTTTCTTTTCTTTTTTTCCCCTCCTTTGATAAACTAGTGAAGTCAGTCCTAACCAGCACGGACACAGTGGAACTCCATTTCCATTAAAGACCATCCTGAACCTATTCACCTATGTGAGCAGCTTCCATATCATGGGAAGCCTTTGTCTCCTCAATGACTTTCTTGTCACTGTGTGAGAACAGAAAGTCTCTGCCCTTAGCAGCTTGTGTTCAAAGGAACAAGCACAGATAATATAAGGCACTTCTGAGCTGAAAAACAGCAGGGCACCGGCTCAAAGCAATCTTGTGTAGCTGCCTACAGTAACAAGGAAAGATTGTCTTTCTTTATTACCTGAAAGCACAGTGGGGTCTTTAGGAAGGCAGAATCTCATTCTCCTAACTGAAGTAAAGCAGATGACACTTGAACACGGCCCGTTCTGCCATAATCCTGCCTTTTCTTTCCCCTTCCACAGTGGCGTGGTTCACCTTCGACCCCTCCTCAGCTCACAGAGACATAGTCCTGTCGAATGACAACCAGACTGCCACCTGCAACAGTTACGATGACCGGGTTGTTCTTGGTACAGCAGCCTTCTCCAAGGGCGTGCATTACTGGGAACTGCATGTGGACCGGTATGACAACCACCCGGATCCAGCCTTTGGCATTGCCAGGATTAACGTCATCAAGGACATGATGCTAGGCAAGGACGACAAGGCATGGGCCATGTACGTTGACAACAACCGGAGCTGGTTCATGCATTGCAATTCTCACACCAATCGGTAAGCGCCACCTGTGTGCTTTTCTCATTGCTGATGTTTTTTTTCTGCTTTGCATCAGAGGAAGGAGATTCAGCCATCCATCTAATCCATCTCCCTGTAATTGTAGTTATTTTATTCCTTCTTAAAAATCACTGGTGACAGCAATTGCACCGTAGCAATCTGTTGGTGTTTGTTATCCTCACTGTTAGCAGTTTTTTCCTGAGATCTAGCCTAAATCCCCCCTGCTGTGATTTAAGCCCATTATTGCATGTCCCACCCACGACGTCAGCAGACAGGAGCACAGCGCACGGGGATGCAGGATTTCTCTCTCATTGCTGGAGGAGCGTAAGGAGAAAGGTGATTGATTTTCTTCCTCAGGAGAAATCTTGGCTGCAGGGTTGCACAACAATTAGGCAAAGCACTGGTGATCACCTGTCCAAAAGGCAGGTGTTTGTTGCCAGTCCTGAAAGCTGACTGAAGGTAATGCTGTAGGTCACACCTGGGGTGATTTGGATACAAGCGACTGTTAAGTGACAGCTTCCATCCAACTGAGCTTTGCAAAGTGTCTCAACCAGTACAACCACCTTGCACAAAGGAGGATTTCAGGATGCCCCTAGCCATTGTCACCAAACCCCTCTTTCTCCCACCACTTAGAGGCTCTATGTACTCTATGAAACAGAGCGGTGGGGAGACATCTTCTAACTGAAGCTGCCTCCAGGGATGGATCACACAGAGACAACGTGTATCAGCACAGATCCAGTGTTGTGCTGACACGGTTGCATGGCTTTCAGCCTTCACGATAGTTACCTCTGCTTAGTGCTGGCTGTGTTTCTTTTTGACGTGATGCTGGACTGTCTAGAGTAGACATGGTCAGCTCCACTTGAAGGTCCCTGAGGTATTACCAGAGCAGAAGTGCAGTGCTCTCTCTCTCTCTGTCCCATGAGAGGGTCAGCCCTAGCTGAGGGTCAGCTGAGGATTACCGGAACTGAGACCCTTGAGAAGATCTCCACTGAAGAGTGTGATTCAGGATGCTAAGTCCCTTCACAGAATCACAGAAGGGTAAGGGTTGGAAGGGACCTGCTAAGGCAGGATCACCTAGAGCAGGTTGCACAGGATTGCGTCCAGGCGGGTTTTGAATATCTCCAGAGAAGGAGATTCCACAGCCTCCTTGGGCAGCCTGTTCCAGTGCTTGGTCACCCTTGCTTATTTTGGAAAATGTATTCCTACTCTGTCACAATGGGAGATAGATGTACGAATAAAGTGACCGGCCAAGGATATGTAGCAGGTCTGTGGCAGAGCGGGAATCAATTTTGATTTAGTTTTCTACTGACTGTCCCAGCAGGTCTTCCACACTCACTAGCTCAGGTGTTGTTTCTGTTATACCAAATGATTAAAAGAAAGGCTTGCAGTGATTTTTAAAATGCTCAAATGCAGATATTCTCTCCTTAAAGAGATAAGTTCATGCCAACATTCACTGTATCCTAAAGCTGGTTGTAAAGTCTCCTGTTGAATAGTCATTTATACTCTAAAGCATACTTGTATTTTAACTAAGTATACTGCAATTGCTGGGAAATTTTATTTGAAGCATAGTTTGATTTTGCAGTTCATTACAGACAGGTGGAAGAACCTTGTTGCTGGATCAAAAGCTATCTGAAGTCAACTGGAATATTTTCCATGGGTCCAAAGACCTTAGAGTAAAATAACATCAGTATAATAAAATACATCAAAAGGTGCTCTGTCCCTTTAACATCTCGATTCGATTTAGGGCAGAAGTAATGTTAAGCTGTATTCATTTTAATGGTCTGTGAAACAGCTTATGTTTTCTGGAAAAAAGCTGGCAACTGTTCTGCGTACTACTGTCCCAGAAACCTATTTTATGGATTTGGTCCTCGGGACGCTCCTCCTGGCAAGCAACACACGAGCTAAGCGAAAGATTTTTCTACTGAGAAGCACAAACAATGGAATCACTTTGGATTTCCAATCATTCTGCTTAAACAGGAGAACAAAGTGCTTTCTGTTGATGATAGTTACCCAGTATTTACTAGGTAAAACACAAAGGCTTTGCAGGCACATCCAAGGCATGGATAGAGCCATGGAATATCTGTTCAAGGGAAGTACGCTCGCAAAGGGCACGGAGTCTTATGAAATCACATGCGCTTCAATGAAATTAGGTCTAGGCAGTATATTTTTGACTATGAAAGTCAAGTAGGTCAGTTTTGTAACTCATTAGCTGTAATAGTCTTGTGGAAACAGTTATTGTTGCCTAGTTGTTTTTCCCCACTGGAGACAAGTGCACGACAGCACAGTATCACAGTCCAAAGGAAATTTATTGTCAGCTTCTAGCCTCTTGGATGTTATTGTGATGGAGGTTACATCTTGGTAATCATTTCATGCTTCCTAATCTTCATGAGATTAAATTAGGGCAATAAATAAATTACTAGCTTCAAGGGTAAGCTGAGGTGGAGCTTGAAAGACCCATTCATGGGACCTGTCACATTTAGAGTACTTTCCTGTTCCTTTCACTCACAGCACACAAAATTGGACCTGTCTACATCCTTAAAAACTATCAAGACTTCTGTAATACTGGAAGAAGATGCATGAACAGAAGAGGCTAATGCTATCAAAAACAGAGAGCACCTTTGAGATTAGGTTGAGCAAACTAGTTAAGAAAATACTTTAGGGCAGGGATATAGCTTTGTGAGGTACCTTTCAGCCTCGTTGTTCCTGGAAATAATCAGTTCACACCAGAGGTGTTGTATGTCCTTTGCTAAGAGGTTCTGACATTCATTGCAATAGATGCGTTCCTTGGCAAAGTTCCCGAGAGCAGGAGTACCTGATGCTATAGGTGATACTCCAGCCGCTCCATGGTTGTGTAAAGAAAGACGGAAATCGCACCGACATGTTTTATATTGAAAGACAGCGGGAAGTCAAAATCCAGAGAGTTTGGAATGTAGTCTTAAATCCCCCTGTGATCAGGAGAGTCCCCTCACTGACTTCAGAGATCACAAGACCGGGTTTTCATCACACAAAAATGTTTTAATTGACTGAAAAATACTGTCCTTGACAACAGACATGGTAAAGTTACTGTGAAGCTCATGATTAAAATACTGATAATGGTAAGTTAAACTAATTCTTCAGTTTATTAAAGTGTTCATAAATTGTTAAACTTTATTTTCCAATAATAGTTAAACTTATTACTATTCCTAATTCCTCAAGCCAATCCATGCAGTCTTATCCTGCACATTGTCCAAGCTCCTGTTGAAAGCGTCTTAGAATAGCAGCCTCCACTGCCACAGGCAATGGCTTTTTTCATGGTAGCCAGATTTCCCTATCTGTACTCAGACCTTCCAGGCTTCTGCACAGCACTTACACACTCAGGACTTATCATTGCACATCATTAAAAATGTGCAGGACTGTGAGAAAAGAAGTGTGAGAAGTGGGATTTACTTGAAATAATGTAAGAGTAGTGCATGTCTTCAAAACTGGATTATCATTTAATGAATGTTAAGTATTTATTGAAGAAGTATTGTAACAAACAGTTGTATTTTCCTTTTACATGGCCTGCAGATTACTAGGGGTCTATGGTATAACTCTCATTAAGTAGTTTAAAAAATGCATTACAGTAAAGCAGCATCTTTTTCACATGCTGCCACAGAAGTGTACCAGGAGAGAGCAACATCAGTTTGAGTCTCTTGAGCCAGCTGGCTTCTTTTATTGCAACTAAGGCTTTTATTAGAAAAAATGTGCTGTAATGCTGTCTAAATGATCTACAGAAGAGTGAGGAAATGCCTTGCATTAGTTTGCTCATGAAACTTTGACTCTCCCAGTTCTCCTAAAGGAAGTGACCATGACAGTAATCCAAAAAGCACTGGAGTCCTCAACGTACTGTTCCCAAGGAAATCATGGGATGCTGGGGAAGAGCAGCTGTTTGGCCTCAGAAGAAGTCCAGCCTCTGTGGTCGCAGCACAGCCAATGTCCGCCGCTTGCCCTTGCCCTGGTTTCGTCCTGCTGGAGCTGGTTGCTCGCTCTGAGGAGGTGGCAGCGGAGGAACGGGGCAATCTACCTGCTGAAGTCCTGCAAGACTTGTGGCAGCGAGGAGGGGAGAGAGTCCCCATCCCTCTGCTCTGCCCCCGTGCCCCCGTGGCTCCTGGAGGGGCCTTGCCGGGTCCTGCACCCGCCTCGGCTGGGCTCTGCAGGCACCATCCACCTCCTCTGCAGCGGGGCTGTCCCCAGGGGCTGCGGAGGAGTCACTCAATGTCACTGTGCAGCACACAGCTAATTAGCCCACAAGAAGCAAATTAGCTTATCATATAGGGAAGAGCAGAATAATCTCAAAAAGGCAAAGTTGCTGTTTCTGTTTCCCCACGAGAATCAATGTCATTTAAAAGGATGTCATAAAATCTATTTTAAAATGCCGCAGGATATAAAATGTGGTGCCCTGCAATCAAAGCTGGTCCTAAACAGAGAAAAAGTAATGTAATCTATCTGTAACTAGCTCTAGATCAGAGTACTGTAGCTTCCCACAATGTCATCATGAGTTTTATCATTGAGTGATTTTAATAAAAACAGTCTAGATACTGAGATACAGAGGATAAGTAAGTATCTTAACTATTGTTGGAAAAGAATTTACTTTATGGCTTTGGAGAAGAGCTCAAAGAGAAACCTAGCAATGCTTATACGACCAGAAGCCGGGTAAAAGGAACCTCAGAACTGTATAGTTTGAAATGTAACACATCTGTGAGCCCGGTTCGTGATTCTCAGCTATACTGTTATTGTATGAAGAGCTTTAAATGGAGAAGTCGGAATAGTATTCTATACTATTATGCCACGGATAAATCTCCCTCTACCTTCAGAGGAAATGCCTTGTGCCACATTTAGTCTAAAGAAATCAGTTTCTGACACCTAGTGGACAAAATGAAAATTTCTTACCCTGGACTATATTCTTTCTAACCATATTTTGATCCCTCCCCCCACCTTTTTTGATGTTTTGCTTACCTATTGTGATAAATTTTATGTTAAAATTGCATTAATCTTGTGAATGTTGTGTGCCCGAGGGGAGTGCGTGGGACAAAAGACAGCTGCTTCCTTTCCTACTGCAAATTATTTGAAACCTGATTTAGCCTGAACAAATTGTGTCAGGCTGTAAATCCATTGCAGATCCCCCATGATATTAGCAGAGTAGCAGTGCCTGTGGCCAATCTGCATATCTAGTAGGGTTTTTTTTGCTCCGCGCTCTTTAAAGTAATACTGTATTTGACTAACCTCCAAATCAAAGTGCATTAATGTCAAATCACTCAAGCATGTAATGGCTGGCTGAGGCTGTCCTGGCAAGCTCTGATACCACAGTAGCTCTCAGCAGCTGCTCCTGACACAACCAATTATCGCCGGTATTAATAACCGTGCCTGCACACTTGAAACAGCTCCCAGTCCTATAGCTGAGCACCTTGTAAGTCAGGGAGCTACTCTTGACCCTAACCAGCCCCACCTTCTCTTCCTCCCCAAAAGCAGTATCTGTTGTGCCTCTGCTGGCTCCCTGATCTCTGGAATGCTGGGTCCCCTTAGGGGATGCCAAGGTGAGTACTTGAACTGGAAGTCTGAGTCTCAAGCTGTTAGCAGGCATAATATTTAGAAATTAATGCCTAGGAGACCAGGTTTCTGCTTTTTCATTCCCCGCTGTGCATCGCTTCACTATAGCAGGGATGCTCTGAGGAGCCGTGTCTCCAGCACTCCGGTCCCGCACACTCAGTACTGACCTGACCTGCTCACCTCCCCATCTCTTGTCAGCTGAGGGGACCTGTTAGCTCTGGACCCTGTTTTCAGCTCCTGGATTGCAACTGGAGGAGAGATGGATCTAATTTCTCTTTAGGATCCCCCCATCAAGCTCCAATGAACGTGGTATATATGCTTCAGATAAAGATGTGGATCAGTCATTGCCAAATGCCGCAGGATAATCATTTCACTGTGCTGCTCCATTCTCCCTTTCCTTAGTAAGACTGCCTTGCCCTAGAGAGAGCAGCGGCAGTGTAGCGCTCTGCCTTCACCAACAGTGTGGTCCCTTTGTACCTTAGGACTGAAGGAGGAGTTTCTAAAGGTGCCACCGTTGGTGTTCTCCTGGATCTGAACAAGCACAACCTGACCTTTTACATAAATGGGCAGCAGCAAGGGCCTCCAGCATTTGAAAATATCGAGGGTGTCTTCATGCCTGCCTTGAGCCTCAATCGAAATGTCCAGGTAAGTCTTCTGCAGTTCAGTCCCACTTACCCTGCTCATCTAAAGGAGAACGTGTGCTACCGACCATGGCTGCTGGGGCTGCCAACGTCATCTCTAGATAGCCAGTCTGGATAGGGGCTCTTTCCTTCTCAGACTGACACCTAGGCTACTAACACTTTTTGGAAAACTGCATTTGACCTTCTGCTTTGCCTTTATGGTAATGCTGTAAAAGCAAGTACAAGTACCTGCACACACTAATTCCTACACTTTGCTGCAACGCTCCACATGGAAAACAGCAGTGCTAAGGCTTCCTCTGCCAGTTTGACTGAAAAACATGAGTATCATAACTCCTCTTAGATCTTACGTTTGGATATTATTTACATTGGCAAGAGACAGAAATGTGAGCAGCACAGTGCTAAGTAGAGCAAAGACAAGATAGGTGAGAGAATTAGTGCAACAGAGAAGACCCAGTCAGTAACACTGCTCTTTCTGAATTTTGGAGATGGGTCTCTGTTCTCAAGAGGATCTCCTCTTGGAGGAACTCTTTTTAAATATAATGCATTTTTACTTCAAGACCACTGCATATGGCTAGAAACAGGATGTAGTGTAAGGGAGAACCTATGGAAACACCCAGGAGCCTGAGGACTGAAGGAGGTCAGCTTAAGTCAGGCAGGACCAATGCAGCCAGGATGGAACATTCATCATTTAAAACACCCAAACTGAAACCAGAAATCTCACAAGGCCTTATTAGTACATGAACACTTAACATTAGTTACTGGTGGCATCCAAACCTTTCAAGAGGGTTTCATAGCTTTATTGTCTTTGATGCACCAATGTGGAAGACACAGGCACTTCTCTCGGCACCTCAGTGCTATATTCAACACAGGTTTTCACTCACAACCTACCTTCAGTTTTAGCTACCTATATCCTTTAAGTACCCAGCTTACATTTCTTAAGGCCAACATTTTGCCCCATTGCCAACAAGGGGGCAGGGAGAAACTCTGAGTTTAAGCTTGTGTTTGCTGTTGAATGGTGCCCTAGTACCTCTGTGCGGGGACTCTGACCTTGTAGAAATGTCAGGTTATAGAAGGAGCACTAAAATGTCCTGTGCTCTGTCCTGCCAGAACAGCAAAGACAAAAAGATTTTCTTGTATTTATTACATGGACTCCACTGTGTGATCCCTTTCCTGAACTACGTGGCGTCTCTCACACAAAGGTGCCATCCACCTTGCATCTGGCAAGCAGCACTGTTGGACACCTACAGCTGGTGGGTGGATTTGGGAAGAGATGTGGACACCTGGTTTCTAGACCCCAAGATATTCAGGAGGGAAGGGGGAAGGACACCTGTTCATTTCCAGGGCTCAGTGTCATCTCCATTAATATTCTTGATGACTTAAACCTGGACCTGAAGTCCCATGGCCCTTCCCCTACCATTTACTTGCTCTTGGCCTTCATGAATGCTTTCTGCTGAGGATGTCCCAGTTTTGACTCCATGTTGTTTCTTCTTTGTGCAGGTGACCCTCCACACGGGACTGGAGGTGCCACAATGTGTGAAACAGCCCAAGTTGCCCAACAACTAAGGAAGCCCTTGCCTGCCCCTGTGCTGGATTCTGTAAGCTTTCTCGGTGTGATTTGGCACTTCTCAGTAAGTCAGTAAAAAAACATTCTCTTCCCTGACTTAAGGCATTGTACAGCGTGTTGCTCACCGAGTAACTCACTGGTTACAGCTACACCCCTCCACTTTTAATTTAACAGCCATAGCAGGCATACCCACTGAACTGGCACTCGATTGCAGATGGGTACCCGAACATATCTACACCGCATTGCATAAGTCTGTACACACACGTGCACGCACGCACACACGTATATTTATAAAGCAAAAGTTAGATGAGTGTATTTTCTCTCTCTCATGGCTGGATGTGTGCTTAAAGGAAATTAGAGATGCAGGAAAAAAATGGGTGAGACTAAGACTGGGGAACAACAGCTGTTGGACCAATTCACCAGAAGGTGAACCGGATTCCTTTGCCACCTGAAGTCCTTAAATCGAGACAGCATATGTTTTGACAGCTGAAGTGGAGGCTGTGTGTTCAGTTAAAATATTCCTGGTTGGCCATTACATTTAGGGGCTCAAACGACCATTAATTATTCCTTCTGGCTCTACACTGTGGTAAGCTATGGGATAACATTCCCCTAGAATTCAGTGGCAGAACTTACCTTGTTATCTTCAATGAGAATTGGATTGGTTTCCAAACACTGCCATGCAATAATTGTGTTCATTTTAGCTAGCACCATGATAAATACAGAACTCAGATATGAAAAGAAGAGAGAAAAATATCCTTGCTACATTTTAGTGTTTCTTATTTAGGTGTGATTGTGGAGGTCATCACATACAGATATGATTGCAATTATCAGCACAACTCTTGAAAAACAGTGCAGGGGAGATCCCTTTGAATGGAATTGATAAGAGATTTATTTAAATATGGCACATGCAAAGTGTCCCATGTAGAGAAATGCTGCTTTCCAGCCTTGATCCTGATAAGTCCTGGGCAGCTGAAGTTCCAATGTAACTCTGAGATCAGAAGCCTTAATTTTCTATTATTAGGTTAGTATGAGCTAACTAATGTCTTGATCCTAATGAAACACTCGAGCGAGAGAGATTCACATAGCATTCATGTGAAATCTGTCCCTAAGAATTTTTCTGGATTGGGACATAAATCTTTTGTGAGACTTATCTGTGTCTTGCACCTCCCATGAAAACAAGCAGCCGTATCAGGTCCTGTCCATGACAACTGGAGCCTGACTGACGGGGGGCTTCCCCCAGCCATGGCGCTGTCACCTGCGTGCTGTTATCAGAAAACACATTGATTCGTGTGTGCACTGCTTTTCCTCTGAACCCAGCTAACGTATGCAAGTGTGTGTGTGTGTATAGCAGCGATGCGTAAGAACAAGATGCAGCAGACTGTGTGAGCCCGTCACATCTTGGACTCTGTCACTCTAATCCTATGCAAGTGCAGTGCTATCAAACAAGAAAAGCATAAACTCTTACATCCCGCCCACGTACCGTTTCCTTTTTTTGCATCCTGCTGCTTATACACATTTTCCTCTCCAAGCATACGTATACGCACGCGCGTATTGTTACCCGACATGTAATTATTAAACCTAAAAACAAATACTCTAACCAAAATCCAGCTTACTGCCTTGCATTAAACCACAGCCACAGGACAAACAGCCCAGGCCTGCCTTCGGGCAGCCTGCCGGCCCCCGAGCATCCTGGTGCAGGTCCACTTCTGGTCTCTGCCCAGAGCACATCGCTCAGGTAGTGCTGAGTGATAGCAGGGCTTCCCTGTGACAGACCGGCCGGGATCCTCCCTGGGCTCATCCCACCTTGCAGCCGTTGTGGGGAGCGGGAGGCAGCCCAGAACGAAACAGTCCCGGGCTACTGCACAGACAAAAAGCAGTCTGCCATCACGCTGCCCGTAACCAGCCAAGCATCCTGTAGCCCACCTCTCCTGCAGAACAGTCGTGCACCTTGACGGGAAAAAATAACATAAACTTTTAAGTGGGAAAACAACGGTACTTTCTGCAAAGTCTGGAATGGATTGTATTAGTAAACTTGTAGACATTGGAATAACTGTGCTATGCTCATTTTGATTTCTTAAAGAATAGCAGAGACCAACTGTGTTATAGTTTTTCATTATGTTTAATGCCATATGAACTCGTGCAGGATTTTCTAATTAGTGGGTCTGTTTTAACCTACCTCAGCTAGAATGCTACCAGACCCCAAATTTCCCCTTGAGTGTGCTCGTTGTAAAGTTGTGTTCTACGAACCTAACAGTTGTAATCATAGCATTGGCTTTGAGTATTGCCTGTCAGAGCAGCGTATGGGAATACTGTACATAAGTTGCACATAGTTTTTTATATTGGGCAACATCCTGTGGTAATTTTAATACAGAAGGCACTCCAATTTCACTTTTCCTATTAAAAACAAAAGGGCGTTGCTTGTTTTGGGACTGAACCTTTGTCTTTACTCCCAACTTCTGTGAAGGAAACTCAAATGAATTTACATCTTTCCAATCTTCAACCATTGCCAGATGTTTAAAATTAATTCTGAATGGTTTGTGGTACTCGGTTTTGGTTTTCATAGTTGCTTTGGTTTTCATAGTTGCTTTGGTATGGGTTCTCGGTGTGTTATACCTTGGGGAGAAGGCATTGAGCGATACAAGTTACTAATTTCTAATGGAAATACGGACAGTAGGTAGCAACATGTTTCAGAGCTGTAGAGAAGCTTGTTGTTATCCTCTAACATTCATAAAAGTAGGATACAGACTAGCTACCATTACAGTCTCCTAATAACCTAGCAGAAATGCAAACAAATTAAAGGACTACAGTTAGAAGTAGGTATCCTGCATTAGTAAGACTAATTTAGCCTAGGTCTAAACCAAAACCAAGTGGGTGTATATGTTAGTTGTGTACAAGTTCAAGGACTTGGACTTGGCATGGACCATAGCAATAAACCAAATTACCCCACTAGAGTGTGGTAGTTTGATTAACAGAAATAATGCTTAAGTAGTTAGAATTATGCTAGGAAACTAATTATTCCATACATGAATATTTATGCAGAGCATCCAGACAGCAGTACCCACCTGAATGTAGGCAGAGCAGAACTTTCCTTTTGCAGAACAGCATCAGGTGGGGAGAAGTGGGGCACTTCCACCTCTCTGCTTGGGGCTGGAGGTAGTTTATTTCTCTGCAGGTAACTCGCCCGAGGTCCATCTCATTATAAACCCAGCAGTTCCCATGTTCTTCATCTACAGCATCTCCTATGCAAGTTTTTGCTTCCTCCAAATCCCTTCTTTTGGAAGGAGCCAGCCTTTAGTAGTTTAATCCTCACAGAAACTGTGTTGCTGACTGCCCAGGGAGAACCCAGGGAGCTGAGGAGCAGCATAAATACCCAAGGGGACCACTTTGGATGTCTCTTGCTTCCTTTTCATTCCTTGGGGTATTGGTGCAGCTCTCTGGGACTCCAAGCTCCTCCGGCACCTGGACCTGCACAGAGGTGCCTTTCACGGGACTCTGCTGCTCCTCGAGGCCAGGCCGTTCCTTGGAAGCAGGAGAGCAGAGCCTTTTGCACTGGGATTAATCTCATCCAGTATGGTGCAGAGTCCGCACAAGGTAGCTATAAATTGACTTAATGTTTGGGGAAAAAACCCAAACCCAAGCCCTCCTCTAATAAGCATAACAAAGCTCGACTTCTGCATATGCTAATTTGAAACATCTGCTGCACAGCTGCTAAATAAATACAGCAGGCAAACTTTGTCCTGCAGAGCAAAGAAGGACTCTTGAACCCAAACCTTATCCTTTGTGAACCTTCTTCCTGGCTCTTTTCTCTCCAAATTTCCCTGTTAAACTTAGTGGGACCAAACAGAAGCAGCGTGCCATCAGGAGCACTGTCAGACTTCCCGAGGCGTGCAATACTACACAGTTTCCACTCCCTTCTTTCCTCTCATCAGCTCAAAAAGAGCTCACAAGAAGACCTCTTACTAAGACTTAGTATCAATATGAGCACAGATCTAGTTGACAATCCCTTACTACTTCTGCTGTGGAAAGGTATCATCAACTACAAAATAAGTGTCAGTGAGGATAGTAGCATACTGTGACGTATCATGCATTTGGAAAGCAATTTGGCTTCTAAAAACATAGAAAAGACAGGCAAACAGCATTGTAACCTCCCATGCTTGTCTATACAGTTAAGACGCATGGAGGAAAATATATTGGACTGAACAAAGTAAATAAAACACACACAAAAAAGCATGAGTTCACATATATCAGAGTTTAAGAGGAAAAGTATTAAATGTAATTTAATATATGAATAATGTTAAATTGTGTTGTAAATAACACCATGATAGTGTATTACTGTAGTTTGTTCTTGGCTGGTGATAGAGCTCTGTCGCAGTGCTGTGTAAGGGTTTATTTTTATTTGTTTTTTTGTTTTTTTCCTCAAAGTGTAGTTAGTAAAGATGGCAGAGAGCACCCAATACTCTAGTTTCCGAGTTGTTCTAGAGCAAGAAGAAATGTGAGATGCAGATTTTTTTTCTTTCTTTCTTACATAAGAATATTTCTTAAACAAGGTGAAGGAGAGATGAGATCAAGGCTAAGCTGCCACTACCACCATATGAAAACCCTGTGTGCGACTGCCAACCACAATTCAGATTACCCGCTCCTGTGAGAAGGGATGCAAAGTACCAACAACCTGGTAGCAGCAGCTTTCTGGTGCCATCTAGTACATCCTTAGCTCACAAACAGAAAGATGAGGAAGGAGAGTTGTTAGACCTAATCTCAGGCTTTACCAGCTTTGCAGCATTCTGCTTAAAAAGCAAAGTCAAGAATTCAACTTTGAACCAGGCAAGATAACATGAAAACCCCAAGCATCTTGGCTAGATCAACTTTGGAAGGGAGATTACGGCTTCAGGTCCTTCAACAGGTTATGGTAACAAATCAACCACATTGTAAAGGGCACTTGTCACTGAAAATTACCAAACAAAGATGGAGAGTCTTTTTTTTCCCTAAATAATCTATTAAAAAAAAAAAGTGAGCTGCTTCTAGTTTTTACTGACAACATTTTTGACAGTTCCTCTGCCCAGCACTAGTGAACGCTGCACACACAGAGAACCATCTGGAGTGGCAGCCTGAAGCACAAATCCATCACAAATAAGACGCACTTGGTCTTCTTACACGCAGAAGCCCATATGCAAGCCACAGAGACGAGATGTGTGGGGCTCCTGCATCTTTGCACAATACAGGAGATAGACGTGCGTTTTACTTGACAGAGGCACTCGGCAGCATTTTCCCCTTCTGTTAAGCGACCTTTTGTTACATTTGTTATTGCAAACAGATCCAAGCAGAATTAATTAAAAAATTATTTTTTATGCTAATTGGGTTTCTAACATTTTCTTGTGAAGCAGTAGATAGAAATTTTCCTGGATCCCAACTGCATTCCTTCATCCTCCACCTCCCTTAAATGTTGTCAATAAAAACACTAACCTTTCTAGGTAGCATGATAAGAAGACATTATGTGATGAATATTAAAAATAAATGCATGAGGTAAACCTGCTGTTATTTCTGATTGTTATATGAAGCATGAATAACATTAATTTAAATGTTGGCAACCCAAAAAGTGCAAAGGAATAAGATAACAGTGTTCACTTCTGGTTAAATGAAAGATGAGAAGCTGTTTTTGTGTTTTCTTCTTAACCAGGACATTTTTTTCTTTATTGCCATTTCCCATAGCTAATATGAATTTGGAGCTGGTGAAATATACATCTCTGCTGTATGTGTCTGTCACCAGATCAAGAGGAAAATACAAACTTTTTATAATTTTGTACCTGTAGCAAATGTTTGTATTTTTTGAATTGGAAACAAACTGCTTTTTGTCTTTTGGTCCGACTAAAACTTTGTGTATAATTATTATTATTACTACTATTACCCTTTTGGAAAACCTGACATATGAGTTTATGCTGTTTTACAGTTTCTAAATAAATTCTTAAAACATTGCCAACAAATTCAGCATCAGCACCCTATTTATTATTACAAATTATTATAAAAAAATATTATGTCATAATGTAGATGAGGCACTTGCACAGGGTGCATGCCTGACTCGAACTGTTGATACCTGCTTTGTTACCACAGTCAAGAATAATGCGGTAGCTGGAGAAAGCCAAGAGTCCTACCTCAGAGCAACCATCCCTGCCTCAACTTCAGACATACCCTGGATTCAGTGGCACAAAAGACCTCTCTTTCTCAGCACCACTCCGTTAGCTCTGGCTTACGTTGGTTATAGAGTACCTGGGGATGTGTGACTTAGCTCCAACCCCCCTTAGACACTTGGGGTGATTTCACAATCTCCAGAAGGTTTTTACACTGGCGTAAGCAGAGCCTGGAAATAACTGACACCAGTAGGATCCCACTGGAGAGACCTTCAGGTAAGCGTAAGTCAGACTTGTCCAGTAAGCTTGCCCGGGCAGGAAAGACAAAACTTTGTGAGATGCTTTAAGATGACATCCCATCTCAGAGTGGCACGCCTCTATCAAGCAGATGCCTTGTGAGGGACCAAGCAACGCTACAGAGGCAGCACACTCAGCCCCGGCAGGAAGGCACTCATCGAAGCTATGTGACCTTCCTAAATGCCTGTTAATAAAGCAGAATAAACCATGGCGACGCATGAACAGCAGTGCCGGGGTAAGAAACAGACAGCCGGCGAAAACAATCAGAAGTACAGACAAGAGTGTGGAGACATTGTCCGTCATGGCCTTTTTCTTTTTTTTTCTCCTGCAAGAGATAAGAACTTGAGGCCAGCTCCTTCACTGCAAAGGGTTTGACTGGGAGGAAGGATAATCACAATGTTTTAGCACATGGGGAAATGGAAGTAAAGCTAACAGTCACAGGAAAAGGCATGCGAAAGAGTACAGATGGGGAGAAATCCTTGCATTCTTGCTTTATCCCTCGTTCCTCTATTTGACTGCAGGTAGAGGGCAAAATAAGATGGTCCCTGCTCTCCCTTGCCCATAATCAATCAGTTATTCAGTGAACACCGGCTTTTGTATATGAGCACATGCTCCAAAAGCATCACAGCTTGCTGCCTGAACATACACTTATGTACTCTGTTAATTAATAACACACCCCTCCACAGAAACACTAGGTGCGTAACAGGTTCACAACAGTTTTGCTTGCCAAATGTCGGTTGGTTGTTACCACATTTGTTAATTCATCTAGTAACAAAATAGGACCGAAGGTACCACGTTTAACTGAGAACGGCATCCTGCAAGGATATAGCATGGCCAGCTCAAATCACCTTGGGGATTTGTTATAAAAAAGCAACCTATCACCATATAACAGAAACCTTTCATAATGCATACACACCAATGTTAAACAAGTGAGAAAATACAAAATTTTGAATAAGCTTTTATTTTAGTGTTTTTCCCCAAGCTTTCATGTTCCATTGTCAGCTTGGCATTTTAGTTTTCAACTTTTTAGGAACTGAATTTTTTTCAACTTTTTCTTTAACAGAGCTTACAAGCTTGAGACCAGGACTGCAAAAGTTAGACACTCCATTCTGACCAAGTTTCACTCCTTAATAGGTTTTGGGAGCTGTGGAGGTAGAAAATGAACCTTTTAAATTACCAAAGCTGATTGACGACATAAACTCCCACAACACATTATACCCAAAGCCAGCTGAACAAAACTTTATCTGGAAGCAAGCACTGAAAAACCAAGCTCAAGGATTAACCAGGAATTAAAAAGTACAGGTTATCCCACAACATCCAAAGCCCATCTGCTGTCCCAACAAGTCTTGACGCTCTGTATTCAATCCTGCTTAGTGATCACACCTTCACATGCAACCATGATTTGACATTTCTCTAAGTCTATGTATTTGGTAACCAGATAGGATTGTTAACTCCGGTTTGAATCTGCAACCAATACTGAATAAGAAGAAATCAAATTACGCAATTATGAAATGTGATAACAGTATTTAGCAACCCAACTCTTCCCACATGGCTCCCTTCCACTCCCTTTCGTTTCCCTCCTCCGAGGCTCTCTCCTAGTCCTCCCTGAGCTGACAGGGCACTTCTCCAGGACCTGAAAATAAGGTGGAAGGCATGGGGGAGGGAGTGCGTGAGAAAGCATCCCTTTCTGCGGTGTGGCTGTCCCTACCCCAGAGCATGTACTTATCTTGGGGGGGATAAGGGGGCAGCCCCCAATGCTGCTGTCCTTGTGCTAGCTGTGAGCCGACTCAGACCTCACCGCTCGCGCAGGGTCCCCTCCTTCAGGCTCCCAGGTGGCAGCCAGGAAGCGGGCTTCCCCAGCCCGCAGGGCTACGCTGAATGTCACCAATACACCTAAAAGAAGTTACTCCAGTAAAAGCTATTTTCCTTCTCGTATACATCTGCTTCACTGCCAGAGCTGCTCAAACAAGCTCCAGATGACCTTACGTATAAGCACCATGGCATGAACTTTTTCCTCTGTTGTTTAACAGTTAACCTTTCTTTTGCCTCCTCCTAAAATATTCAAGTTCCTTTAGCTTGAGGTAGAACAGAGATGGCATTTTGGAAATTTGCTAACAATTGCTGTTTCTAATGGAAACACAAACTTAAAAAAAAATAAAAAATTAACTACCAAGGACAAAACTTCTTTCAGAAACACCAACCTGCTGAAATCCAAATAGCACTAAAACTTCAGTTTTGATAAAGATTTCATAGAGGGCATGGGAACACTGATCAAAACAAACACAACTTAACCATGAACAACCAGTAGCTGTTGGGTGTCTTATGCCTCATTTGGCACAGGTCTCAAGTGTTATGAGGTTTGTTGTTTTTTTTTAAAAAAAGAAGCACAAACTAAACTAACCCACCCACTTGAAACAGTGCTTATTTGGAGATCTCTGCAGAGATACACAAATTATATCTTACCTGGGACAAAACTTCAGAAAAATCTTGTTTTCATTCCCAAGTGGATAATTTTGAAACCTTAAGAGGTTTTGCTGGCCAGGAAAACTGTTTGTTGTGCAGTTCCACTATCCACTAACTACTCATACAGATACAGAAACAGATGGATAGACTGATAAGTGTTTGAGAATACCTATGTTAGGTTCACAGCAAGTAAAGTATTACTTTTTCCATATTCCTTCCAGATGAAAGCAGAGCACTATATATTTTAATCCATCAATTAATGGCTTAAATTAGTATTTTACTTCTAGACAATAAGCTGATTCTAGAAAGTAAAATGCTTTCTTTAGCACGTATTGACTAATAAAAATAGCCTTCTTAATAAAAAGTCTTATTTTTATTTATAAAATGGTAAATTCTCATACTCTTCCCAAGGCAGAATGGAAGATGGGAAATCCTGCAACAACAAATAAAAATTAGGACATGGTGGGAGGGCAAGAGGCTCCGTAAGTCTGTGTTAGTGGCCATGTGAATTCTATCTTATGCGTATCGTCCGTTACACTCTGTATCAGAAGTTCATTTGATAACTTTAGATGATTTAATTTTCTTTATGTCATAGCTTTGCAGAATCAAGGTCCCATCTCTGAATTTTCCAACTTGTCCTGCAGGCCAAATGCTAGGAACAGATTTCTTCCTTTTGGCCTTCCTGAAATACAAAGGGATAAAAAAAGAATTAAGAAAACCACCGGAAACTCGTGAAAATGCTGAATATGGTGAAAAATGTCACCTATTTATGCAATCAGTATTTGGTATTATGGAATATCAAATCATAGCAGATAATGACCCACAATATTTGTTACCTGCATAGCCATTCAAAATTTGCAGCACATTACAGAATGAATTACTTTTTTTTTAACTATTATTTTAAAACAAAGAGTTTCAGATAGAAAAAGAAGACAGAGTACATTTCAGTGAACCTGCTACAGTATAATTAAGAATGCCACTTCACCTTTCAAGTCTCTGTATACTGTATCTTGTGTTTTGCAGAAATTATTTCTCAAGCCTATGAGTGAGTGGCATATCCTGAGTCCACACACTCTGGCTGCAGTCTTAGACGTGTCGGGGCAGAACTGACCCATTTTCAGTTATGCTGCCTAGATAAGGCTTTGGAAACTGCTAGATACAGAGCAAGGTCAGCATTTTGTAGCTGTAAGTTCTCCTGCAGTTGGACAAGTTCCTTCCACTGTGATCTGCATGACTTCTGGTATAAGACTGTGCATAGTTATGAAGGGGGAGGCTATACAAAGTTACACTGGGGACGCTATAAAAAAAGCAAGTTAATTTTAACCATGTTAAAACCAGCTCACCTCTCCTTCTGATCTTTCTTCTTCTTCTTCTTAAGAGAATCACCTTTATGTTCCTGTTTTTAAAGACACATATTTTAATGGAAAAGGAACAGAGCATCTTGGCTAAACAACCATCTGCACACAAAACACGCGGTAGCCTTTGCTCCACAGAGCAGCAGACATTTTAAAGCAGGTTGGGAGACCTTCTGACAGGCCAAGTGATGCAATGTGTTACAGAGGCACTGCTAGGAGTGCCCAGAGCCCTTCCTGTCACCTTATCGAAAGTACAGCCCTCTCGTGATCAACACGCTGCCCCTGCCACGTGAGGAGGCACAAATCCAGCCACATGAAGAGAGAGGCTTGCCTCTTGGGCGTGTGGCAGATCCTTGGGTCACAAGATGGACTTACTACCGGGCAGGTGTGCCTACTCACCCGAGTGTACCTGTCAAATGAGAGGGTTCACCCGTGGCTGGTCATGCAGTGGATGTACTTTGCGCCACGTAACAGGAGAAGTAGGTCCCCTGGGAAAGTGGGTGGCAGGAAATAGGCCAATAGAGCAATTACCCACCCCGCAGCCTGCTCCCACCTACACGAGAAGGCTCCATGGGGAAGCAGGGAGTAGGCTTGAAGCCAGATGGGCCATGCTAGAGGATGGATGCAACAGAAACCCCACCCTTGCTTTAAATAATGAGCAAGATCCTAGATGGAACTGTGCTGATATAAAACCAGCTGAAGATCCGGCTCTCTGTGGTTAGACAACATGCAACAAACTTTAATTGAAGGCCATTTTTTTCCCTTAAGAGGCAAAAAAGAAAAAAACCAATGAACTGCTGATTTTGAGTCATTGATCTATTGGCCTCAAAGGTGAGGCAGTGAAACCCACCACAACACAAGCCTAACTCTGTGCCCTTCATACTGCGCACAACCAGCTTTTTCTGATGAGATCAGTCCTGCTGGAGCCAGGAACCCACTCCATGGGGAGCAGCAGGTGTCAAGCTCAGGCACTCCTCCTGTGCCTGAGGCATTATCTGTCAGGCTCTTGGGCTGGCTCTTACATGCTGTCTTTATACAGAGAAAATTTCACACAAACCTTTCCCTTTTCATCATCCTTTGCTGTTTTCTCTTTCATTTTCTCTTGGTAAGTCTTGTAGTTCACGTGTTCCTTTTTGGGGGGCTGCAATAAAAATTGGGAGGGAAACCACTGATGAAATTTTCAAATGGGTTCAAAAAATATTCATGCGCTCGCATGGAAAATATTTTTCAGGTGATGGTGGGGAAACAGTAGAAACAGTTTATTTCCTTTTGGGTGAGACAAAGGGACATAAGAGATGTAAGGTAGACACACAGAAACCATATCTTTCTTGGTGGAGAAAGTAGAGAGCGATATTTATGCTCTGTATCAGTCCTACAAGGTTTCCACATACATACTGAGCTAGCAACAAAACTCATACCCCTCCGCATCCCCCCAAAAAGCCCCAGAGGTTTTTTTTTATTTATTTACAGTACTGAAGATAAATAAAAATGAAAAGTTTTCTCCATCTTTAACTCACTGGGAGAGTGAAGCTTTTAAAAGGAAGCCCCTCCTTCCAACAATTTAGTTTTGAATGGCCCAATTAAAAATTAGTAAATGTTGTTTTCCAACTCAATCAGTCCTATTTCATCTAAACAACATCTCTGACAACACAACCATACTAATTTTCCAAATGTCTACAGAAAATAGACAAGACAGAATAGAAAATGTACAAGTAAGGATGAAGTGGGAGAAGGGTCAGGGCAGAGCATCTTGTGTTTTAAAGAAGTAGTGCCAAAACCCCCCAAGAGATTTTTACCACCTTCCTGCACTGTAACAGCTGAGTGACAGCCCAGCACAAACCAAGTGACAATCACCTTGGCTCCCAGCATGATAGCACGCTCCTGTTCCCATACGCGCTGTTCCTGCTTCTTGTAGCCAGTGATTCCAAACTTGTGCACTTCCAGACGAGCCTAAAACATTGCAGCAAATTGCAAACATTTTGTAATTTGTCTAACCTGTTGTAAAATAACTCTCGACAGACCACTCCCAAAGAAACCCTGGCTAACACCTGAAATCAACGTGCTATAAAATAAAACTGAGTTTGGAGCTATTCTGCAGAACAGTTAGCCACTGTCCATCTAATTTCTGGACAGCGAGGACTGTCAGGGAGACAATTTTCAGCTGTCCTCATTTCACATGAAACAATGCATGGAATGGATCTTCTCCATATAAAAATGAATCATGTTGTGCTGCACAAAGGAGTACAACGAAATGTGCTACCCACAGCGCCCAACGTTTACAGAGCATCCTCGTTCTTTGGCTGCAGAGCACTTAACCAGTGAGAAACACAGACGGATAGATGGTGAAGTGGTTTCACTACCTACGTAAGTATACTTGACACTATACAAGAATATCCTGGCAAAGCTAGGGGTGAATTTATAATCTTTTTAAAGGCAGTGGTTAAATCCTCACTGTTCTCAGCAGTATGGAGCTCCACACAAAATCGCCAGTGAGACTTCACTGGATCCCAGCACATCCCTGAGCAGAGATCAGGCGTATAAAACAACTTGCACAGATCTATAAACCAATCAGTATCTAAGAAGGCAAATGCTACTTTTGCTCGTATAAGAACACATGAGGACAAAAAGACAAATGGAAAAAGAGTCATCTGCTGTTTCAAAAATAGATGCCATTATGCTTTTTTTTCCCTCCCACATGAGATCAGAAATCCAAGATTACCACCATGGGCCTGAAAGAGCTACGCTATACATTACAGGTACTCACATAGCTTTACACAGCTAACACACAGTGATTCTCCTCGAATTCTCACCAAAAGATCAGAAAGAAAGACCACAGGGTTGTAACACGCCTCTCTTCACATAAAGCAGTGGACAACAGCCATCATGCTCCTCCTTTGGCATGGCATACAGCCAAAATTACCTATTAGGAAACCCTCACCTACAAGAGATAACCTTTTCTGGAAATGTTTCCTAACTGGTCCCACCGTAGCTTTCCCAAGGATATAAATACACACACCTGCACACTAAAATAGTGAGATTAGATAGGTCCCGCTGACTTACTTTTTCAAAGTTAAATTCTTGTTCGTTCGCATTTTTCTCTTCATCCACTATTTTGGTCTATAAACAAAATAAAACATTTCAAATTAATATAACAAGTAACACCAGTTTAAATGCTGATTGCAATAGTTTTTTGGAAGGCAGTGAAATGTAAAATGAGAGTATACAGTTTTCCACCAGTGTCTTTTTCTACCTTTATTACCTGGATTTATTAAAAGAGACAGTCTCAATGGCATTTTTAATGTGTAGATATTATAGGGTCTTACTGGAATAATCTTGCACAATTTATAGGGTTTCATTACAGCACAGTGCCTATAGCTTTGTCCTGCATTTTCTTGCCTGGATCACCTGCTAATACTTATAAAGAGTTTCATAATTCAGAAAGATATTAATAGCTGCAATTAATTTTTATACTTTCAAGTATAAATTACATTTTATAAGAGACAACCCACCACATGTAAGCTACACGTCACGTATATTTCCATTTCCAAATCCATACCAAACTGCTAATGCAGGATAGGACATGAACTTTAAGTCATTTTATTTGAGACAGAGGGAGTGGTAATAGCACATGTACCGTTAGCTGGCAGCAGCATGCAGAACAAGCATAATTTGCAACTGCATGGACATATATTAGTGCACATATCTGGCGTATCTAATGCAAGAAAAACAGCTTCAAAGGAAGCACTGTCAGCAAACAGCAGACCTCACTTAATATTGTTTAAATAAACTACTTGCTCAAAATGAGGTCAGCGAAAACTACATCTTTTCTACTCCACGATTTACACAGAGACCTTCCATCAGCAGTCCTCAGTTTGGAGGGGAACACTCCAGGAGGGACAGATCGTACCCTAGGAAGAAAAAGAAGCACAAAATTCCCAGGGAGAGCTCCAGATCTGTTTGCTACGGGAGTGTCCCACACAGTACACTTCAAAGCAGTAACAAATCTCCCAGGGTTATTTTAGCTTGTGTTCAACTCCTGATTTTGGGGAGGACGTGCTGAAGCACCTCTCTGAGCGAATGCTCTGCCCCCTCCCAAACATGCTGATGCAGGCAGGTGGCACTGGCAGGGAAACTGTGGTTTGTCCAAGCGTACCATCCACTCATCTTCCCCTGTTTGCTCTCAAGGGCACTATCCCCTCTGAGGAAGCAGGAGTACTACATATGTATTAATGCTTGTAATGCATTTCCTTTTCACTCTCAGGACATTAAGTCACGTTGAGTCACAGGTTCAGGTCCCAGGGTTACATCAGGGCTTCCCTCTGAGTTCTACATAAAATTGTCCATTTCAACCACAAATAAACATGTTCAGAGCATTTTACTAACAAGCCTAACACCAGCCTTTTCAGACAGAAAAATTTAAGTTGTAAAAAGCATAAGAAAATAAATAGCTAGGCATTTTTTAGAGGAAAACATGCCGGAAAAAGCACAGAAGTTTAAGAATTCAACCAACTGCTTGGCCAATCTCTATTGGCCAAGAACCTCCCAATTCTATGCAGTCAAACCCCAGATGCCAGTAAGTGTCCCTGAACTCAACACAGCCATGTGTTGGCCCATCAGAGCTTATTTTAGAATTGGGCTTCTGATGTTATGGCCATAAACACCCTCTGAGAAAACAACCAGAGAAGCTATAAAATCTGGAGACCAATCAACCAGCAAGGGACCCTCTGCTCAGCATGGAAGGCAGCTCAGCTTCCAGCCAAGCCTATCCAGGCCTCTCTGTTGAAGCAACTCAGCTACAGCTTTTTGGTAGCACGAGGGAATTTAGGACCAATAAACCAAATCAGAGGACCAAGATCTAATGCCATCATGCCTCCCCTCATCAGCCATCCAACACTGATCCTCCAAGACGCACATTGCTTGTGAACAGCCAAGTGTTGCTGTGATGCCAGGGAAGAGAAGAAAGTTCAGGTACCTCACATCCACACTTAGTGACAAGAATAAAGCAGCACACAAACCACTTAGGCAGAGAAGCGGCCAAGAGGCTTTCCTTCCCATTTCATTCACTTCTTACCGTATCAGCAGTCCTATCTGCAAATCAATTTAGTTTGTTGGGCTACATTTACCTCAAATATAGGTTATTTATCCTTGAAATTGGAAAAAGGGTCTTTGAGTCCTGCCCCCACCCCTGCTTCAGCCGGCCACTGCCAGCAGCCCTGTCAGATGGGAATCAGCAGGGCTAGATGACATCAAGCTGAGCACGCAGACTGCAGAAGGACCCCGGATTTTACAGGCACCTCTATTAGCAAGAGGGAAGAAACCAAGCACAGGATCGGGGGGGAATTACAGAAGATGTCTCACAATTTATGGTGGCAGACTGTGGAGATAGCAAAAAAACCCAAACAAACCCCAAATATACAGAGAGGGGTTTGGTTGTTTTTAACTGTCACCGGAAAGGGGCATCCCAGGCCAGTACCTGCTCAATGGAAAGTCGCTGGAACGGCTTTAAAAAAAGCCCCGTACCTGTGCTCTGAAGAACTGAGCTTTGCCCACCGGCACTGGTGCCGTGCCCGTGCCCGGGGAGCGCACCCCGTTACAGG